GTTGTCAGGTTACTAAGCTACTTTTGATGTACATGTACGTGTACTATACATGTATAGCTAGTGACTTTTGCTATCCATGAGAAATAACTTAAGTTTTTGCATTATGATAGGTCAAATTCAATTCAATCAATGTAATTGGATATGAACGCCCTGAACTTTTGTACAGTGATACTAACCATATTTGCCCTATTACATGTACATGTATTATTACATACATGTATATGTATCTTCTACTGAATGCAAGGCATTCTGTAAGTTTACCGTTTTACATGTACTTTGATAAAAGGCAATACAGAGTAAACAAGCCATACATGGCACAGTCCCTGTTAGTTATCAAATTTTAGATAGTATTGTTTATAGTTATATAGTTGGAACATAAAAATGTCAGAGATCTGAATCCAGAAGCTGATGCTTGATGTTGATTTTTTAACATTAAAAATGGTTGACATTCAGTCATCTTGTAGCTGATCATCAAATGAGTACTGATTCATATTGAGAGATATTGCTCTGGAAAAGCAATAATAAAAACAAAATCGCCACCAGTCGACCATTTTGAACACTTCTGTATATTTAAGATGTATAATGAATATATAAAATTTGAACATAATCAGTCAAAGCATATTAGATATATGGCTATAGAATCGCATTCATTAAAACAAAATGGCCACCAGTCAGCCATAATGTTTAATGCACTATTAAGTTAGAATAAATTCATAAGTAAACAGGCCAGATATGCTTGATTTTTAATGATATTTTAGCACAACATGACCACCATCTAGCTATGTTGAATCAGGTGGTCAAACCAATAAATCTGTATATCTATTACATGATGTATAAGGAATATTTGAAATTGGAACATACATGTAATCAGTCAAAGCATGTTACAGAAACATGTATGGTATTAGAACCACTTTGATTAAAATGAAATGGCCGCCAGTCGGTCATTTTAAATCCAATCGTTTAAAAAACAAAATGACGTGCATCAAGGTCATATATTGTCCAATGTATATACCAAGTTTGAACAAAATCTATCTGTAAACAGCTGCGAAATGCTTGGAATGATGATTTTTCAGTACAAAAATGGCCACCATTCGACCATCTTGAATTAGATCATGAAATAAAATGGTGTGCATATGTATAATATTATGTATGATGTATGTGTGAAGTTTGAATATAACCAGTTTGATAAGTTTTGATAAGTAAACTGAATACTCATTGCTACACGTACATGCATATCAACAATGGCTGCTTTGTAATGCTATAGCAACCAACAGATGGGGTTATTCAGATTTTATATTCGACTCATTACAGATATAATTTGTAATTTGTGAAAAGAAAAAAATTAAAAGAAGGTGGCTCGATATATTTGCTTTGAAACCAAGTGTTTTTTTCATATCCCAATCAAACTCCCAATCAAAAGCAGCCAATTAGGAAGATTAAAAAAAAAAAACATAAACATGAATTAACAAAAAAAAGAGCTCAGATTAAACATTTTTTTCTAAACCTTAACTCATGCAATCAATTTACTATTGATAATTTCCGATTTCACGTTTTCCTCATTTCAAAAAAGCAATCATCACTTAAAATAAAAAAACAAACATTAAACAATGGCTGGACTTTTCAAACGATGTCATTACGGTAAAGCTCAAGCCATTATGAGATGTGTCTACCAACAAATTGTAAATAGAATTTTTGATTGCTATGCAGTGCACAACTCAGCACAGGTAATTCGCTTTACAGGCGTGTAACTAAATGTCGTAATGTCAGCTGGTTAGATTGGCATGCACTTAAATTTCCAGCAGATTTGCATTTCATCTGCTATTTGCCTGCTGGTGATTATACATCTAGAAGTACCTTCAACCTACAATGTAGGTTTGTATGCAACAAGAATTGTCTACATCTATTCAGTGTTTTCCATAACCACGTGTCTATTCTAAAGCCCTATGCTGAACACAATGACAGCCACAATTTGTAGAAATGTCTATGTTCTAGATTTACATTAATTTGGTCACTGGTACATGTAGCATAGTGGGTTGTAACAACACACTCGTGATTGGTCGAGGCAAGTTCAAATCCTACTTCGAGTGGAACATTATACAAGGCAGACCCCAACTTTTGGTGAGTTTGCCACAGACTCGTAGACTAAACACCCACTGGCCAAGATTCACTCACTAACAAATGTTACTTTGAAGGAACCTTGGTTAGTATCCACCGGTGTTTGTGTTTGTCTAGATTATCGTCAGGATATCAAAATGTAATTATCCGAGGAAGTTGGTCTAACAGCCCCGTCTTGTAAACCTAAACTGGTATATGGTCTTGGTTGAAAAATACACTGTCAGCACTCACACTTGCAAATTGTACATAAAAAAAAAAGTCAAGAGAAACAGTTACATTCAATGTCAAGAACAATGTCTACATCCATTCTGTGTCATTCAACTTGTTTAGTCTGTTGCCTGTTGCTGAGTACAATGACAAATGGAGGTTTAAACCTCAGAAATACAAGTCAATGGAAAGCTATTTACTAGACTGTACCTGATTGGCTACCCAACCATAACACCTAACAGTCAGACCAATCAGAGAAAAGCTTGTTTATTTTT